CACCAGAACTCAAGTCGTGCAGCTTCTAAATGAATCTGCCGCTCAGAACGGCGAATCATGCATCAGCATGAAGGGAATCACCGCACCCTCAGGGGGTGGGTCCCCTTCTACAGTCATTGGGACCCACTGGGGGTTCCACCTTCTCGGTCAGTTCTGACACGAGAGCCCCTGGAGGCTTCATTATTTGACCATTGGGTTCGATGGTCATTTGGTCATTGGTTCCGTGACCATGGTTAAGAACCACACGGGTTCCAACCGTCTAGAGAGTTACAACTCATACCAAAACTCCCATGAAATTGACCAAATGACAACCATGACCAAAAAGCGTAAGTCCCCCCCAATGGACCAAGCACACGCCATTCGTAATTGTTGAGGTAATTTATAACCGAAAATACAGCAAGGAAAAGAAATAAAAACTTACAGCTGCACAAATGGATGACCCATCCATAAATAGGTTGAGATATCAACCAAAAGCAAAATCGTGCAATGCGTTGCACAACTGATTGGTGCCACACCGGGTGCACTCTAGCTATCTGCGGATAGCCATTTGATTTCTTATTTTGGAGTCTACCGCACTCTTTGTCAGGATATCCTCCAAAGTCTCTGACGCCATGGCACCGTGCACCGAGAAGCGATAGCTCTCCCCAGGTGACGAAGCAACAAAGTAATCCCTTATTTTGGGGGAGTTAACATAAGGAAATAAAATAAGTAAAAATATGACAAACAAAACAAATTTAACCATGGATGAACCCATCCATAAAAAGTGCAATTGCGTTGCACAACAGTGATAAAACAGTGCAATTGCGTTGCACAACAGTGATAAAACAGTGCAATTGCGTTGCACAACAGTGATAAAACAGTGCAATTGCGTTGCACAACTGATTGGTGCCCCACCGGGTGCACTCGAGCCATCTGCGGATGGCTTTATTTCTTCATGCAGGCATGCATGAAACGCAACATGACAAACCTGCCATGTTTTGGACTCACACCGTGAGTACCACTTCAACCACCGGTTGAACGCAATATGACAACATGTCATTTTGATTCACACCGTGAGTGCAGTTTCAACCACCGGTTGAAACACATGTCAACACCGCTGACATGAAGGGGATACCATCCCCCATTGCGAAAAATGTTAACACAGTACCCAAAGCGACTTGGGGGGGAAAAGCAAAAATTTCAAACTGTGTGTCAAATCGGTTAACCCTACCAGGGAAAACCGAATGGCCATCCACAGGTCACCGACCCATAGAAGAGAACGCCAGGCGTGAAACCTTTAATACCGCCAGATATAGGATCTATCCAGATCCTTGCAGTGGTTGGCAAGCACGCCAAACTTTCCTGAACGCTGCATGCTGAAAAACAGTCCGAGCGGTCGTCGGATGACTGCACAGAATCGGAGAACCCTCTCCTCCGATGCATTGAAGTTGAACCATCTGAAAGCAAATGAGGGGAGAAGTTACACAAATTTCCCCAGCGTCATAATGAGTTCCACCATAAGAGCTTCACTGCCCCGGTGTTGAATAATGGCTGGACGCCATCGATTTTGAACTGCTTGGATCATGTTGCGCTGGTAGGGTAAAGGTTGCCAGGCCAGATCGCGAAAATATGTGGCCAGAATGCCGTGGGGGTGCAACTTCGGTGTCACTTCGCATGTAGTTGTGGACCCCGTTACCCTAATGTGGCCTTGAGAGAATGCAGCGTGAGGTTCAACTTCCGGTCCAGCCATGGAGCGGATCGCCGCCATCAGGGACCATCCAGGAACTTGCTAAGAGACAATAACACAGTAGTAAAATACATCTGCGACAATGGAAAAATTGGACTATAGGAATCCACCAGAGGGAGCAAAAAATCCACATCAGGTAGTCCAGACCTGTCCAAAACTGAATCAAGCACTGTTAAAAACTTCCACAACCAGTTGTGGGAGCCTCTGCTGAGAAATCCCTCCGCTGCAATCGCGAGGGGCATACCGATGACAGCAGTTTTGGATCGCCAAATAACACCTCGCATAGTGTCGTCCTGGAAAATAATCTTTTGTAGGTCAAAACATTGCGCGTCAGAGAACTGTGCAGTTCGAACATAGAATACTGTGATCCCACTGCACCAATGCCCAGAGAGGTAGCGGAAGTGCTTATTTTGTTGTCCCTGGGAGGGTACCGCTGGAAGGCATCTAACGTCCACAGACTTCACAAGCCAATGCGGGGCCTTCATAAACGAACTGCACAAACTGCGAAAGCACGAGCTGCGAAAATAAGATGTCGATCGTGGTAAAGGCCTTGTAAGTGAAAGATCTACCAATCGGACCTCTGTCAGGGACACCAAATCCACCTGGAGTGACTCGCAGGTTGTGCAAACTGACCGGGAGCCGGCAAACACTGCCATGCTGTACCTGGTGTTCCTTTGTCCAAAAGTCTGTTCAGGTGAAAACGCAAAAAAGACCAACGCATTCGATTCTCCCGTTTGACCTTATCTCGTTTCAGATCTCAGAAAATAACACCTTGTGCTTCTGCTGGATGGCTTGTCTCACCATTGAACCAGGTTGGGTTCGACCATACTTCAATCGAATCATCTGACCAGATGACACCAGCAACCCATTCAGGTCGATTGGTTAGAAGGAGTGCACGATTGTGTAGTGTCGCCAGGAGGACGAAGCTAGCCCAGCCACCCCTTCAGTGAAACAATAGCGATCAAATAGAAACGCCAATGTAAAAATAAGCCAATGGTTCGAAATCCCAAGGTAAGAGCAACTTGCGAGTCGAAAGTGGTGAAAGCCCGGAGAAATACTGAGATCTGACTGTAATAAAAGACCTAAAAATAAAATAGGGAACCAGGTGTGAAATAAAATCCATATATAACTGTTGAGTGCCCCTTGCTGACGTTTAGGCGGATGCCATGCCCGTTGAATTGGTGGCTTAGCCACATAATGTAGAGGTCCTGAACTTGTGTGCTCCACGCAGCCTTGAGGTTGAGACAGGTCGGGATTCTGTTGCAAAGTCATCCAGGTATAATACGAATAGAATCTATGCGTAACAGTTGAGGTGGATGAATGGAAATCCCTAAGGCAAATCTGAAACCCGCGGAATACCTGAATGTCGCTGAGCGGACGACTGTCCCGAACATCCAGTAGATGTCAATGGACGAAAATGCAAGTCAGATACCTGAAATAGAGATGCCAGGCTAGGACCCGGAGGTAAAGGTTCTCGCTGCAGTGGAGCTGATTTCAGCCTGAAGGGCATTGGCGGTGGACTCATTGAACTTGTGTCCCACGACTCGTCCACCTCAGGTGCCAAGGGCCATAAATTCGATGAAGTGTCCATCACACCAATGCCAATATGTGCAGGAAGTGTGCCCTGTAGGTCCAGGCATATAGTGCTAACAGCGAGATCATTGCTCCAGCCCTGACGCCCGGGAACTCCCAGTATCTCCAAATCAACTGAAGAAGCACATGAACTCGGAAGGGACCTGTATGACCGGATGGACCGCCCGCCAAAGTAAACGACCCAATGCGAACGCATGCCATACACTTCACAAAGCAAACTCTTGTCGGAGCTGATCCAAAATGAAAATGTAAACTCCTCCAAGAAGTAAATATCCCTGACTGTAACCTCTAGCGGATAACTGCCAGGTCATGTAGGACCAAGGTGTGCATGTCCACATAGTGTGAAGGGATCGAGGTCAATGCCAGGTCCGGTGAAACCATGCGAAGTGAATAAAGATCCACGCTAGGTCGCACCGTAAAACCCTGAAAAAACTTGACACGTCCCTTAATATCAAGATGGGTACCACTAAAACACACCTTATAACCCCCCTGTTTGTTGCGTGGAAAAAGTCGAGGAAAATAAGAATATGCCGATGGCTATTTGGTCCCCTCCTGCTCGAGCATACGCCATGAAATGCAGTGCAGTATAAATTTGCATCCTACAGCTGAAAGATCGTTCCCTGAAAGGTCACTCAGTTGTAAGAAGCCAAACTCATTGGTGAGTAGTCATCCGGAATCCATCTCCAGAATTGAAACTAATGGCAGAAAAAAGTTGGGTGCAGGCGTCTCCCAGAATGAGGCCCGGGTCAGCAGTAAACATCCAGGAGAACTCGCAAAAATTGTGTACCCCGGCTCAATATGTATCCAGCTGAATCCCCCACCACAACCATGATGGGTAGTCAGGTATATTTGTAATTGAACCAGAAGAAGTTGCAAAGTAGTATATGGCGCAGAGCCATGCGTGGCCATTTCAGTCAATGCCAGGGTGCCGAGATCTGCCCAGCGACCGCGACACATCGCATCACCGGAGTTCGCCCGAGGGACTAAACAGGTGAATGTAGTGCGAAAAGAGAAAATGAATGTCCATGCCCACACCCAGTGACACATCCAAAACAGACACCAGTTGAGTTGTCGATGAAATGCACTGCAACCACGAAGAAAGCAAACACAATGGTCTGGCATGACCAAAAACAAAAATGTTGAACATACAAATGAAAGTCCTTGAGCCAAAATGGAAACAGGAACAAAGAAGATCCTTGCAAAACACAGCGAACAAGTACGCTAAACAGCACACTCAAAAAATTCTTTAACCCACTTTTCTTTCGATAAAGAATTATCACCTTCGGTGAAGTTGTCCTTATCGCGTAACGTGGGAAAAGCGCGCTTACAAAACATTTCAAATAATGTGAATGAACTTCTTAAAGTTCGCACTTCATATTATTTCACTTTTTGTCCAGCTTTGTTAATTGGGGAGATTCCGTGGAGTGCGTTCACTCTGTTGCCAACGAAGGAGCTTTCAAACATGACTCTTTGTCGTTTGCATTGAAAAAAGAAATTGTCTTCCAGTTTCACAAGGCATTGCACTTCTGCAAGGTTTGGTCCTATGACCACAAACTCAAATCTGAAAATGGCGAAATTTCAAATGAAAACATTGTACACATTGGCAGCTGCTCAACTCCCCTTTTCAATCAACTCAACCAGCTTCCAAAAATTCTCCAGGGCTTTCAAAGCAAGTGAATAGTCAGGAACTGACCTGACCGAGTTTCGGTACTCCGAAAATTGGAGTCGTGAGGCACTGTCCGATGGATTGCTTTTCGATGGCACTCTGCTGTACCAGTTCCTGGATTGGACCAAAACGTCCATACGCGCATTCAGCAAGAAAAAAACTGTCCAGAATGGGCGAAAAATTTCTCACTAAAGACATCCGAGCACTCTCATTGTCAAGGAACCATAAAATGCTCCTGCCTTCCAGAATCTGGTTCCATGTCGATTTTGCTATAACGACTGGAAAGATCTCGGCCTGGGCAATGACCTGTTTCTTCCCAGACCTCGTCCATAGCTTCACGAAATCACCTGGTATGTGATCTCCCATGAAAAAACTCCTCTGTTTCCAAGGGTCCACAAGTACAGCGCCATGAGTGACTGATTGCAAGGAGTCTTCTACCGCACCATCCGTGAACAACAATACTGGCGGGCATTCTGACCAGGACTGAACCAGTCTTGGTTTGGCTTCCATCAGCAAAGAAAGGGCCTCTGAGACAACGTGGACCAACTCCGGTGTTACGGTAACCGAAGGTCCTTGTCCTCCAAATTTGTGCAGTAGTTGGCAGGCCAATTGAGTTGTCCTGCCGTACGTGTGGCCCGCCGCATAGAGGTCCACCTGTTGCTTCAACTGCAGAAGTCTGGACTCTTTGCTCGTAACTTCTATAGTGGTTTCTCCTGGTGAAGGGAGGGTCACAATGGCTCCCAAAATCTCAAACCGTTTCGAAAATGGCTTTCGCTTTTCATCCCCCATGGAGACGCGCCAACCAAGAAGGCTGAGCACCAATTCCGCTGTTTGCCAAGCTCCATTGGATAGCGGTGCAAGCTCGATCTGACAGAAATCGTCAAAGAAGTTTGTAACCACAAGCCTGAACAAGCGTGTGAGAATCATCCGCAACGCTCTTGCAGCACGGTTGAAACCAATAACTGAAGAAACAGATCCAAATGGAAGGGCTATGGCTTCGAAGTAGTAGACATTGTTGTCCTCGGGATTTGCCACAGCAAGGATCGACGCCCAAGCGTCACAAGGATTCCGTACCAGCTGCTTGTAGGCATGCTTCGACCAGGTCGCTGGATTTAGTCTCGCGCCACTCTGTTGCTATGGATCCAGACGAAACACCGTCTGCACCAGGAATGCGCCACTGATGTGATTCTCTCATGGCTCCAAGGAAAAAGCGAGCCGTTGCACAGATATGGTCAATGCCCTCCAAATCAATCTTCTCGTGACATGTCACCGTGGCATTTACCAAAAACTGAGAAAAATCATCAACTGACCGAATTTTTCCACTTTGGCGCACCCCAAAGCGTCTCGATGGGATCCAATGTTCTAGTAATTTCTTCAGAGGAAAAAGGGCCTCTGACCCAACGCTTGTCTTCCGCTGCCTGCTCTATTGTCTCCTGCCAAACTGCTGCAGCAATTTCAGAATCCTCCAGGACCCGTTTGCACGACCCAACCACTGCACGCTGAGCCCACACTGCAGTCTGTCTCAGCTGCTCAATCCCTAGCACTGCAGGTTTCCACTGCGGAGGAAATTGTCCAGATGGGGATAAATCACCTACCAGTCTGAAGCCACTGCAAAGCTCTTCAAAAAGCAAGGGGTCTACCACACCTGCATCAGCCATCATTTCTCTGAACAGCAAGAGGCGTTTGGTCGCCATGACTGGTTGGATTGACTCGTCCAGCGTTTTGTGCAGTTTCAACTCGTCTTGTTGTAGAGCCTTGGCACGCCCAATATAGTGCTGAAGCATGTCAGCTCTGTGCTTTGCCACTCCAGCAGGGCCTCGTTCCAAAATGAATGCAATGGACTCCATGTTTGACTCATCCAATGGGAGTGGAACATCAAACGGGTGTGTCAGCTGCTGCACACGTTGCACAAACTCCTGAGGGGAAAAATATACCCCATAAATTGCTTTCAGACGGCCACTACCCCCTTTTCCATCACTAACCGGCTGCAGTTCCAGTCGCTTTGCACCCACAGGAATGCCTTGCCATGGAGGTTTTGCATCCTCTGGGATGCTCACTGGCGGATTGTCATCCTCCGCACGTTCAATAGATACCTTCGTCTTGAACTCAGAAAGAAGAAGTGGCCCTTTGGTACTACGTGGCTGTGATTCCGCTGAAATTTTCACTGCATGGTCAACCAGTTCATCCTGCAAATGGATGTCCCCACGTTTTGCCAGTTCATCCAAAAAGGATGCAGCCAACTCATGTGCTAATTTGTTAGGGTATTCGGCTGCTTTGGCCGTATCAAAGGCCCAGTCACCTGATTCAAGCTGCCTTACCTTCCAGGCAGCATGAGTGTGATCGCCAGTGCAACGTTGTTTGAGCCTAGGGGCATCGAAGTTGGCCAGGAAAGCTGTGGATTTCTTATGCTCAGATCCATATTCCCAGGCATCAATGACATGAAAATAGAAACGCTGCAATAATGGTTTGAAAAATGGAGTCTCCCACATCAAGGAGTTCTCAGGGTTCTCCACTGTAAAAAGAACATCACATTAAATTACACGCACGGTCGCCACGCGTCAATACCTCCAAGATACGAAACTTCAAAGAAAAACCAAAAGCAAAACCACAAACACAAGAACATGAAATTGCACTGAAAGTGAGAACTCACGCGCCACTCTGTTTTCTCACAACTGCGATGGGGAATGCGTGGTCACGCCACTGCTGCAAAATGTTTGGATGCCGCCCCACAGCTCGGTCGGCTTTTGTTTTGGCACTGTAAGGGTCCCCAGCGATCATGCTGGGCAAACCATCTGGCTACTGTAGCCTCTTCAAGGAAAAAATTCAAAATCATCCTGCATCACTCTCCAGCAAGACGTAGGGAAAATTTGGCCCATTGCTGCTGGTCCTCAGTATTCGTTCGGCAAGAGAACCATGCAAGGCTGGTTCGGGTCAGGAGGTGAAGCTGCAGCTTCACGACAGGCAGGGCCAGCAGCTAATGGAGCGGGCACCGGTGCTGCATCTGGTTCGTCCCGGGCAAGCTCGATGAGCGCTTGACAAGACTGCAGCAGGAGCATGGTGTCTTGCAACATACTGTATGTATCGCTGTGCAAATCCGTGTCATAGTGAAGACGAAACCAGTCCAGAAATTCATTGAGTGCCCTCAGGGCGGGGCCAAATTTTCCACGATGCTCACGAAAGCGTGGGTCCAGCAGGGCCCCCAGTGGCTGGGGCCATGACGTTGGCGTCTCTGGTGGGAGATCTGGAAAGTGGAGCTTCTCGAGCACCACAAGGGAGTTGGACATGCTGGCCCGAACTTCGAATGCCGCCTTAAGAAAAGGCGGTCTCCCGCAAGCCTCAAGGAGCGGTTTCAGCGCTCCGATAATTGTTTCGAAGGCGCGCACCCTGGGCTCTGGCTCTGGCATGTACATGTACAGCAAGGCCACTGAGATGAACACACTGAAGTTCACTATATCAGGCTGCTGCATAGGGACCCAGGGTAGTGGACGCTCTGTCGAAAGTTTGAGCTTCGAGCTGTTTTGCCAGCGCAGGAAGCTGTCAAGTGGCCGGGTGGGAAATAGGGCCGGGACAGGCCACTTGAAATGAAAAAACCCGAGACCAAAATGAAATAATGGCATGTCAACTTTCCACAACGTCAAGTTCAAGATGCACAGCTGACGTTATTTTACCTGAGAACGTTTGAGAGGAACAAATCAAATTGTTTCATTGTTGGTTTTCACAGGTTCATCCCTGGCAAAATGAAAGCAATAACAAACCCAACCGATATGGAATATTTCAGAGTGTTGTTTTCACAGGTTCATCCCTGGCATGTTATGATGCTCGGATGAGCAAAGGCATGATATTTCCGGTGGCTAAAATTTGGCAACCAAATTTTCCTTGCTTAGTAATTTAATGCACTATCAACGCGTTGACCGTACGCTTTGTCGCATAGCAGCACAAGGTTGGCTGAAAACTCGTACAGGCAGTTTGCTGCTTGCACTTTCACTTTGTTCAGCCCTTTCAGCCATGGACATCCCAATGGGTGCAGAGCTCCTCAAAGGCTGAGGATTAGGAGCACCTCGCTTCACAAGTTTCCTCTTTATCGGGATGTTCCTGGCCTTGGACGCTGTGCCGCAAGGTGGGCCTAGTGTAACCCTGAAATTCGGCCAAGCCTGATCTCTCTCACAATGAGATCCTGCACCCACTGCTGGGTCAAATCCAGTTGGACAGCCGCTGCTTTCAGTTTGGCGCGTTTCAGGTGGTGATCAACACCTAAGGCCCTTCCACCTTGTGTACGGAACTGAGCACAAACTCCTGCCGTTCCGCGAAAAAGCTCCAAGAGGAAAGGCGGTGCCTTCGCGCCTTCAACTGCTGGACTAGGGTCTTCACCCTTACATGCAAGCGGGGGCTCACCCCCAAAACTGCTGTCAGCTGACATTCGCTGACTTGTAAAAGGAGTTGCAAGTCCTTCGACTGCAAAGTGGGACACAGGTTCGTCCTGGATGATATCCACTGAAGGAAAAATCCCCGGTGCTGCCTTCGCAACAACGGAACCAGAAGCCGGCTTTTCGACTTCGCTTGTACCACTCTTTGGTTGACCTGGCAAGCCATAGTGCTTGCTTAGTCAATTTGCTTTGTCATGGTTGAGGAAATTGTGTGAAGAGGAGAAACAACCTGGACGGCAGCACACATGTCAGCCACGTTTACACTGCTTGTCGTGGCATGATCCAAGGTTGTACCCATAGCAAATCGACTTTCCATCTGAATGCACAGGAGTGCCTCCTCGTAGTTGGGCTGGCATTGGTGTCTTTGACAAACGGCGGCCCTTCTTGTCGAACTTGCCACCTTTCGGTGGTGACCATGGCTTGTTCTTTGGCTTCGGCTGAGGATTGCCAGCAGCCTGTGGTTTGTCCGCTGCTGCATTGGTCTTCGGTTTCTGCATCAGCAGCCACATGATGGCTGGCATCTCCAAAACAGCTTCAACATGGACGTCCAGGGGTAGTTCACCCGATGGCCCAAGCGGCAATCCCGCTCGGGTCTTCTCTGACAGCTTCAGGTGGATCTCCCTGTCTGCAGCTGCAAGTTGGCTCATTGACAACTTCCTGAACCCATCCATTGGCTCCCTTTGTAACTCCGCGAACAACATGCTGACTATCAACTCATGCTTCTCGAAACTCATGAGGTTAGCCAGCTCATATGCGATTCCACGTCTCCGCATGGCGTTCATCACCTCAAGTTCTGATGAAACTTCGCACCTGAGATTGGAGTCAGCCTCAGTTTGTTTTATTGTTCCAGAAGGGTCGGCCTTCCAAACCTTAAGGCTCTGTTGCTCTTTGACATTGTTCACCTCAGATGACCTCGATGTGCAACGAGACCATTCAATGTATCTCAAGCGACCATCGTCTGCACATTGCGCCAGCGCGTTCACTAACGCATGGCTTGGTTCAAGCACACTCTCAATCTTCAAAGGTTGCAGCTTCTTCTCGATCGCAGTGAATCTGGCCGCTATCTCCTGTATGGGGAGCTTCTTCGGCGCATCACTCTCTGTATTGTCTGCTTTGCGTTTCAGCTCAGTTGCAGTCAGGGTGTAAGACTCAAAAAGCAAACGACGTAGCAAAGCTGATTCCGGAGCATTTGAACTGCCCAGGAGAGGCACTGCAACTTTGGTATCAAAATCATCATCAGTTATCTGGCCAGGGTTGGTCGTCACTGAAAAGGCATAACTGCCAAAAGTTGCCCAACCCTTTCTTTGCAGCGCTCATACGTTTCTGTTGAGATCTTGATCTCATCACATCTTGCTTTGAAAACGCTCTGACTGTCAACATATGACATGGCTGGCACTGAAATGCAGACAAAGTGATGTCAAAGAAAAGAAAATGACCCACACAACAAGTTCAACAAAATTTGAAAGTTGATGCAAGTCCTCGCAAGTCACATTCCTATGCTGCGAGATTTTGAGAGTCAACTTGGAAAAGCTTCTTATAGGGAAAACAATAGTTCAACTAGCTCATAGTTGAACCTATTTATTTTTGATGTCAAAGCTGTGTTGTGATGGTTATGGTCTTGCTGGCTTATACTCTCCGAGGACTCAACCTTGAGTGGACACCACGCATCATGATCTCAATCTTCATTGAGTGCTGACACTGAAGTCAGCCCAAAAACTCAAATGATGCACAAGTCCAATCACTGACCTTTGACCTGATGCCTCAACTCATTTCTGCTAGTGACATGTGAACTGTGGCAAAATCTCTGAAACAAAATGTGACAACGGCCGAAGAAGTGAAACCGAAATGTAATCAGACGGCAACAGATTTTCCCTTCGGAAACATTGCAGGTAACGCATTGTTTGGTCATTGCCAGCTGCATGACATGTGCAAGTGAGGAGTCTTATGGCAGTACGGTTCACTGAAAACGGAAAAAAAACTTGCAACATCAAACAAGTCAGAAAGATGAAAGACTTCTCATTCATCTGGGCTGCCAACTTCGTCCTCAATCTTGTCGCTCCACCCAAAGCAAGTCATGCAGCCACGTGCTGCAAACGCTGGCACTGTTGCCAACTTTACATAGTTGTCCTTGCATCTACGGCCACATCTAAAAATCATCACACTATCAATGCAGCGCTCAACAAAATGAAGCTTGTGTGACTTGACATGTTTGAAACAATTCTTTCCTGCCAAATCTGAGGGTGGAACCAAGTCTTTGGCGTTCTTCTCGCCGTTCAAAATCGCTTGACGTTCCATGTCATCAGACTGACTGTCTGAGTCTGTTGACGATTCTGCTGAGTCAGGTGCATCACTGACATCACTCACGTCATCAGGCTCAAAAGAAAAAGACTGTTCAAAACCAGTTTCCAAAGTGTGCCGTTTCAATTCATCCAAAGCGGTTTCATCATGAAAACTGCAAGACTGTTGGACTGAATCTGGATCATGAGGGCCCGACTCAACGCCTTCCGTCTCACCAGCTTCCAGGCCAAACAGGGAGGCACTGAAAAATGGTTTTCTGACATTCAAAGATTGATTTGCATTCAAACGAGCAGCTGCAAGTTTCATGGCATCATCCAATGAGTGAGCCCCTGACCAACGCTGAGATCGAGGCAAGTCCCGCTGGAAAATTTCAGCCCGTATTGCAATGAGAAGCGCTTCAATCTGGCGCAACACTGGTGCAGCAGCATCCCTCGAGTACTCCAAGGCGCTCTTGTCCCCAGGGCTCACGTGGTACTGAGTGAAATGTCAACATTTGCCTTTGCAAGCCAAGACAAAATTGTAGCCTTTGCTGAGTGTGTCGCTAACCCATGAATTGATGGAGGTGTCCAAGGCCCGAGCAACTCACGCAGCCAAACACTGGCTTCTGATGAAGTCAGCGGCTGTTGTGTCCACAAACCATCTGCTGTCGGTGCCGGCATCATCGGCTGTTGCAGCGATCCACGCAACTGCATTTCCATCCACTGCAGCAACTGGCAGCAGGCGCACCACCTTCGACCTGCGTTTGTTTGCAGTCTTATGGTGGTACAGGGCTGCTTCCAGAAAGCCTTGTCGTTGTAGACGTCCAGCACAGGTTCCTGAATGCAATGCTGACCATCTGACCACCTGAGTCTGCAGTGTACAAGGAAGCACAGGTATCCAGCAAAAATTGCATCTTGACCATGACCCAAAATTGCAATCCTTTCCAGAATTATCAGCTGCTCCACAGAGAGAGGACACTTCTTTTTCGGAGGGCTTGTTGAAGTTCCAGCTGCAGCACCTTTGACCCGCGCAGAAGAAAGAACCTCATCAACTTTTGCACCAATCAAGCCCTTTGCAAAGCCCACAGCTTCTAAGACTAAGAATCGTCTGCCCTTTGTTGGAGCAGCCTTCATGGCCCGCAATTCACAGAGATATTCATAAGCCATCTCCTCTGTAATAGGGAAAATGCTTTCAGATGCGCCCCAGCTGAAAGACCTCTTCCAACGCCCAAAAGCAAGCAAAGAGGCTGCTCGTGACTTCAAGGTAGCTGCAGCCCTGCTACTGAAAGCATCGTTGATGACCTGCCAAATGTAGTCATCACTCTTGCCATGTTCAATGCACTGCATCAAAAGCCTACCCAGATCAGTGTTGGATGTACTATCCAGCACAATGACCTTCCAACATTGCAAAGCCAAGTTCAAACGATGGTTCTCCGAAGCAGCCCATGACACTTCAGACATGTGGCGTTTGACATTGAACTTATTCAAGCGTGTTGGTTTTGGAACTGTATCTCTCTAGCTGACGTGCACAAACATCAATGAACTCCGTGGACAGGCTCGACATGTCAAAGAAACTCAATCCAGAAAATGTCTCAACGAGCACAAAGGTAAATACCAAAGTCCAGAACTTAATCATCCATGAAATCCCAATTTCGCGAGTTCCTACAAGTGGAAAACAGTTGCTCCAACCACCCACCCTAACTGTTTGAGGCGAGCGCGGTTGAACACGAACATGGTTTGCACACAAACCAAAACATGAGGGACTTAACGAGAGAAGATTTAAAAACGAAGTTGTTGTTTGTGTTGGTTGGAGGTTTCCACAGAAGAAAACCTGGTACCTAAAAAGCCTTAAAGACCGAACCAAGGCCCAAGGCATTAGGTACTAGACAACCAGAAAACAACAACATCAACGGTGGTCACTTCGTTTGAGTTTGCCGTTTTTTCTTTTCTTTGGCCTTGCTTACAAGGCACAAAAAAATAAACAAATGTAAGCGCAGCAAATTTTTTGAGCACACTCAAAAAATTCTTTAACCCACTTTTCTTTCGATAAAGAATCATCACCTTCGGTGAAGTTGTCCATCAAAACTCGAAGTTGTGAATTGCGACTTGAATTGGACGCTGAATGCTGTGGAAAGTGCTTGAAGATTCTGCCTGGGTCATCTGATCCTACAAGTTGATTTTGCGTGCAGCTCCATAGACCAAACAGATGCATCAAGGATTTCAACCTTGCAATGGAAAGTCTTTTGGCTGAAACGTCTGCTGGATTGATTGTTCCCAAAGCTGCTTTCACTTGCAACAGCTTTTCAACTAGCAAGTTCTGGAGCAGAGTACCCTACAACTCAAATGTCTCAAACGTCCAACACCTCGACGTGACAAAACTCCTCTTGCAGCTGATGAATCCAAGTAGAGATACATGAGAATGCGCACTTGAAGTACCCAACAAAGAATGGTCCTAATGAGGACGGCATCCATGACAGCTGAAGCGGCAGCATATGTTTCCGCTTGACAGTGACACAATCTTCTGAGTCCTTGATGATGAGTACACCAAGCATCCTCCATAGAAATGGCGCCGCCTGACACTGACCGTCTGGTGTTGCGGTCTGCAGCCCAGTCTGCATCACTGAAAGCTTCCAAGGCAGGCTCTTCACATTCATAGTCACGAAGCAAGCCTGAATGCATGCCCTTCCATTTCAAAGAGACATTTTGGTCAGAGTGACCTGCCATGTAGCCAACCAAATGCTTCAAGACCACCATCGCCTTTTGTGTGGGCTTTGATGCACACAAGTTGAGAGATATCGAATCACGTACTGGCACTGTGGTAGATCTGGAGACAAGTACAGCAGGATCCCGATGCAGGATCGATACACTGAAGCATCTTGAGGTTTCAGCTCCTCAATGTTGTCAGGTGTTTCAATTTCACTGTGACCAGGAGAGCGCTTGTTTTGTAATCGCTTTGACAAATAAAGCAACTTGCAAAGTTGACCCAAGTGCTTGAGATGGATTCGAATCACCATCCTTCCATCTTCAAGGAGTTGATGTGTTTTCTTCAAAAACGTCACTTCATCACCTGGCCCACACATGATCTCAATGGAAACTGTGTACTTCGCTTGCAAAGAGGGGAGTTCCTCCAAGACAGTCTTTCTGGCACCCACAATGAGAATGTCATCAATGTGCACCAACATCAAACAATCACCCTTGGCTGAGCGCAGCATAGATGGATAGGCCTCGTTTTCGACCATTTTCAAGCTGCTGTCTGCAAGAAACTTCACCAAATCCTTGTGCCAAAGAAGGCTACCATCACGTTGACCTGGTAGAACTCTGCCAAGGCTGCACGAAATCGAAATTCCACTTGCATTTGTGCACCTAACACGTGCGGGTTGCTCTTGCTCAACTGTCAGAAAAGCATCCTTCACATCGATTGCAAGCATCAAAGTCCCCTGATGTTCTCTCAAAGCCAAAGCAAGAAAACAAAGGGGAAGAATCCTGGTGGCAATGTTGGATGAAGCCGGTGAAAACAAGGCTTCGCGGTCAGGCTGTAACCAAGTGACTGTACTCCCTTGCCACCAATCTTCTCCCTCTCAACCAGATTGCATTGCCAGCTTCGTCTTTCTTCTCTCGCCATGTGCGCACAAAACGTGTGCTCAAACACTTTGCACCTGCAGGCAGGGTGTCCTCAAGAAGGACTTGAAGACCAAACAAACGTTCAATCTCGACTTGGTCTGCAATGCTGCCCAATCTTTGCAGCTCATCACCATTGAGTTCTGGTTCTTGTGGACTGTAAGAGTGACTGAGCTCTTTCATGCGGTTGTTCAACTCAGTAATGGGCTCATATGGATCTTCTTCCAGATTCAACTCATGTTGCAGCATGACGTCAAAGTCCTGCTCTTCCAGAGTGACATCAGGTTCAATGTCCAAATGTTCGATTTGGCGCAACTGTCCAAGCAAATTGACTGGATCATCACCATGCTTGGCAACCTTGTTGGGAGGCTTATTCCTTTTTCAAACCGCCACGTGTCGCCTAATTTTGCGCTACGCATATCGCGCGAAAAGTAAACTTAAAATAATGCAGAACGAAGATGGTGGAATGCAAAACACTCGGACACGCCTTTTC